TAAAGATTAGGTGACAGGGACACAGTGTTGCTTGGGATTTGCTCATGTCTGCAGAGCTAGTAAGTGGTGGGAGGTGACCCTGCTAATCTCTCTCCAGAATCTTCCCACCTGTCAACCCTGCCCTCCACTGTGTGAGCAGCCACTTGGAGGGTGCAGGAGTGTCTTGGGTCTGCCAAAGCAGAGTACCCCAAACCGGGCAGCTTAAACAACAGAATGCATTCTTTCAGAGTTCTGGGAGCCAGTTGTTCAAGGTCAGGGTGTCAGCAGGGGTGACTCCTCTTGAGGTCCACGATGGAGCATCTGTTCCAGGTCTCCCCCAGCTCCCGGTGGTTCGCCGGCCATCTTTGGTGTGCCTTGGCTTGCAGATGCAGCATTCTGGTCTCTGCCTTCATCGTCACACAGCCTTCTCCCTGCGTGCTCGTCTGTGTCCAAATTTCTCTTTCTTATAAGGACATCGGTCTTATTGAATTAGGGCCCACCCTATCCAGTATGACCTCAGCTTAACTAAATTGCATTTGTAATACTTGACTCTTCAAATCAGGTCACATTTTGAGGTACTAGGAGTTAGCGCCTTAACATATGAATGTTGGAGACACGATTCAACCTCCAAAAGATGGTGTGTTTGTGAATCTGCAAAAAGCCATTCAGAGCCCCAGCTATGGTCAGCACCAGCGGTTCTGTGCTCACACTGCAAGAATCAACCCCCAGCGCAGTACCACACAGGCTTGCTCCACCAGAGGTAGGCCGTGGTCTCTTGTCTCCAACGCAGATGCCCCAGAGACCAGGCAGACAACAGAAATGAAAGCATGAGTGAATACACGTGTCTGGTAGACTATGGAGCAGAGGGAACCAGACAGTGTGCCCCAGCCACAGGGAGCAGCTGCTTCAGCTCCAGCTGGTGTTGACAACAGGAAAGGAGACCCAGGGCTGCCAGAACTTTGACCTAGTTATGGTGTATATAGCAGTGCTTTTGAGGGTAAAGGATGTAGAAATCCATGTTTTTATTATTATTTTTTAAATTTTAAGTCGAGGTTAATTCGTTTTAGCTTATTCAATTTAAAGGAATTTAGCTCGTTCTCCACCAAGACTATATAAGACTGTGAAGCTAGAATTCAACCAGCTTGCTTTTTTATTCTAGCTTATTATTTTGAACAATTAAAAATCTTCAGAAAAGTTGCAAGAATAGTTCAATAAATACCAATGTACCTTCACATACATACAACAAATGTTGACATTTTGTCATGGTTCCTTCTCTTTCTCTCAGTTTTTCTCTTTCTTTCTTTCTTTCTTTCTTTCTTTCTTTCTTTCTTTCTTTCTTTCTTTCTTTCTTTCTTTCTTTCTTTCTTTCTTTCTTTCTTTCTTT